ATCATGCAAGTGCTATGAGAATAACTGGGAAAAAATAGAAGACCTATCGATTAATCTTGCATGGACTAAAATCTCAAGTGAAACACAAATTATTACAAGCAAAAGGCAACTTAAAGAAATTTTTTGGCAAGTAAACAAGCAAGAAAAAGAAGAAACAAGAATAGGAATAATCAAATGTCTAGTTCAAGAAAAGACAATTGAACAAATACAAACTTTACTAAAGCCGCTTAAGGAAACAAAAGATTTTTTAGACATGGTAATCAATATAGCATGGAATGAGTTCTACGAAAACATATGGAAAAGAAGATGTAAAGCTACTATTGAATGGGAAAAGCTGATGAACATCAACCGGTCATTAAAACGAAGGAAACTAGAAAGAAAGATGAAACTACCTAGTAAAGAGATGCATAATCAAATAGAGAATCCGATTAAATTAAAAGAAAACCAAGCCGCTAAGAAGATTAAGGAATTAAAAGAGATAGAAAATAATAAGATAAAAGAAACATAGTTTGGTTCAATTAAAAGTTATATAGAGAGTAAAATAAGACCATTTTCATATGGTCTTTTAGGCTAGTCTGGTATAGCCCCCAGATCCGGGTTACTACTCTAACCGGTGCAACAGACCGCCTCTGGGCACTCATTGAAGCAGCCGGAGGATGTCGAACCAGTAAATTAGATCAAAGTATATACAAATTTGTAAATACAAATCTTAATAAAGGTTAATGGCAAGGCTGCCAAAGAGGAAAAAAAAAAAAAAAGTTATAACATAAAGTAAAACCTTTTTAAGTGCATTCAATATATAAATTCTTTCTAAATATATGATATAACTTGATCCAACTTATAAAGCATTCTATATTTTACTCTTTATAAATGCACTTTCTCTTTAATTACATATTTTGCTTTTTTGATTATAGTTCTAATAAGGATACATTTAGAAAAGTTTTATTATATTAATTTTTAATTATATAATTATAATAGCATATTTATATGCTTAAGATATGAGGCCAATTTGATTTCAAAATAGATAAATTTATTTATATAAATAAATTTTTTTTTTAAAAAAAAATTATATTTAAAATTTTAATAACTTTTAGATCTAGAATCAATTTTATACTTTGACTTTAAACAAGAATTAACTCTAAATATTATATCAAATATGTTTTAAAGATTTTTATATTTTTAATAATTTTTTTTTTATTATAGTACTTAACAGTTAAACTTTAAAACACAGAAATTCTATATTTAATTTTATTGTAACAACTACTATATTTTCATAGAATAATGCTCATTCGTGTGTTATTTTAAATACATGCATATGCATTAATTTGAATTAAAAATCAAATTTTTACTAATTCTAATTTTTAAAATAATATGCATATGCATTATTTTAAAAGAAATATATATTAATATTAAGTAAATTTTCTAAATATGATTATATAAATAAAGTCTGTAATTTAAATTCAATAATTTTTGGTTTTTTTTTGGCACTATTCTATAAACAAATTTTGAAATACTAATAGCTAGAAATTTATTTTAAGATATGTAAAAGTTTAAAATATATAAAGTATAAGTAAGAATATTATATAAATGTTGTATTTTAAAGCTAGTTAAAAGTTCCTTTTATTTTGTATAATTTTATTATATTATAATGATATAGTTTATAACTATTTATTTTAAAATTAGTTCAACATAGTTTAGAATATTTAATATTAAAGTAATAAAACCTCTTTTAAATAAAGTATAAAAAGATCAAAGGTTCAGCTTTAATCAACATATGGTATAATAATTTAAGCTACATATTTACCAAACTTATCTCTTTTTAGTTTTATCTTGTTTTTTATTAAAATGCATCTAAATTCTAATTAATCAGTTTTTCAGATTCTCAGACATTGATCAAAAAGTTTATTAATTTATTTATTTTATTTTAAATAAGAGAATTGCATTTGTACTCTCTTTTAATTTAGTATATTTTAAATGATTTGATTTTTTTTAAAAAAAGAAAAAAAAAGTTATTAGATTAAGTACTATATATATATACCTATTTTTTTTTTATACCTTTCTACTATTACTTTTTAGAACATTGCTCTATTCAATTTATTTAATGCAGTTATGTTTTAATTCATTTTACAATTATTTCTTATAAAGGCTAAGGTTTTTATATAATAATACCTATCTGCTATTTTAGAAGCCAAAGAAGTCTAATAGATACTTATTTATTGAGCTTTATTCAGTTTTTTTTTCTCAATAAATAGCCAAATTGCCAACCCTGTATTCATGATATAAACAAAAAAATCAAATATTTTCTAAATTATTAACTTAATAAAGCAATTCTTTCATGTACATTATTGTTATCAAAAATTTAAGGAATATTAGATATTAATATGCTATATATTTATTTATATTTTGTCTCTATAGAGGAAGTGACTTTTGAATTTTTTATACTATATATTATTTAATATATACATACAAATAAACATGTGTCTTTTGAAAGAATAGAATTCTAAATAGACAATAATTTTGGAAATTTTCATTTTAATTAGTTAATGCTAACTAGGATGCCTTTGTAAAATTTTTAAAATCATAACTTTTAGCTTTTTTTAGCATAATTCACAAACTCTACTAGTACTGGTACTATATTGCTACATAATTATAGTTTTTTAAAACTATTTAACTCAATATTTTCCAAACTCTTGATCATTTTTTTAGAAGAATGTTTAATGATTAAATGAAAATTATCTTTTATTTTTATAATAATTTATTTACAATACTGCTTTTAAAATATTATTACCATTACTAATAATTCATTTTTATTTAGAAGTGTAAAAAAACTTATCATATAATGAACAAATACAAAAAATCATTTAAAGACTTATCTAAGTTATTAAAAATTGAATCAAATAATGTATTAATTTTAAAAAATTATAATGTATTTTATAGTATAATATGTATGCATTCTTTTTGTTTTTTGTATTATTAATATTCATAATATAAAATGTAATGTTATCCTTATTAGCTTAGATGTACAGGTTGTTTACTTTATTTGCAAATAAATATGAATACAAAATAAAGTTTTATCATTGTGTTTAAGCTTGATATAATCTTGTATACAGAAGAAACCTCAAATCAAAAGGCTTTTCTGTTTTACAAAATTTACTAAAAGATGTTTAAAAATGGTGTAAGCAAAAAAAAGAGTTAGAAAAAAAAGTAAAGACAATAAAAACTTAAATATAAAACAAGTGTAGGTTTTTGAAGATTATAACAAAAAAGCAGCATGCTCTGAGTTGAAAAAAAAGCTGTTGGAGTTTATTAAAGAAAGAAGAGAAAAAAAAGAAACAGTAATAATATTAATAATAATAAAAGAAGCCAAATGTTTAAATGAATCTATGAGTATTAGAAGTATAAAATTTTTGTATAGTTAGGCCAAACATTTTAAGCAATAGTATAAATTAGTAAAACATGCTCAAACACAGATAACCCAAAAGGTTTCTGAGAATAAGTCTTTAATTATTTAAAATTTTCTAAAAACTTTATATAAAAAAATATACACTATTGAAAAAAAGTATATTATATCTTTTGATAAAATCTTTATATAGTTTAACATATTACAAGATTTAACAATTGATTTTAAAAGTATTCATAAGGTGCCAGTTAAGACTATGGACAATGAAAAGCTATAATTTATAGTAGTTTTGGATTATATAACAGCTAGAAATAAACTTCTATCAGCAGTAATCTTCAAATTAAAAAAAAAAACAAGAGGCAGATTCTTATAAGATGTTGTAGTAGCAGTAGTAACTTCTGCAAATATAACTAAAGAATTAATAATTTTTATATATATTTTACAAGTTATTAGAGCTAAGCTGAATAGGTTTTTTAAAAGCAAAGATATTATTTTTGTTAATACATACTATAGTCATTATTATAATTATGTAATTAAAGTATTAAATTCAGAAAACTTAGATGTATTAGAAATTCTTAATAGAACCATCAGCATTTTGCAGCTGCCAGATGTCTCTGTAAACAAGCCTTTTAAAAATAAAATGAGAAAAAGATAGAAAGAATAGATAAATAAAGAAAAAAAAAGTTATACTAAAAATAAAAACCAAAAAATGCACTATATAAACTTGTTTGTAAATAGGTATCTGAGATGTGAAAAGAAATTAATTCAAATATTTTAGTTAAATCTTTCAAAGCAACTAGATTTATACTTAATTATAATAGTATTGAAAATGGTAAAATGTTACACTATCTCAAAGCTATCATCAAAAATCATCTAAATGAATTATCTATCAAAGATATGTATTTAGAAAACTCAAATTATGATAATAGTAAGCTGGATAATAAATTGAATAATAGTAAGCTGAATGATAATAAGTTTGATAATAGTAAGCCTAATAGTGAGTTGGATGATGATAATTTGAAAGATAAAATTGATAATAAACTGGAAAACTTTGAGCTAGATTATTGTAATGAATATTATTAATACAGATAGCTGTGAAAAAATATAAAATAATGAAGTAATAAAAATTAATTAATAATAATAATTAATTAATAAACAAATGAATAAATCTTTAAAGTAAAATTCATATATATTAATAGTTTTTTTGATAACTTGAAATATTGTTAGCCACTTTTCAAGATTTTAACAGACCTAAATAATTTATTAAAATAAGGCAATTAATTATTTTTTTTTTGTGATTAAATTTTAACTGATAGAGCAACTACTTTAATTATAGTAAAAATTGGATATTTTTATGATAGCCTATTATCTTAAATTCAGTTATTATATTTAATATATTAGATCATATAGAATATAGAATATAAGATTAGAAATAACTTATAAGATTACTGTGCTAAAATAGTGATAGATAATCATTTTACTAGGGGGTTGCAATTCTATAAGCTATAATATATCATTTTTGAAAATTAGTTAAAACTTAAGATAAATTTTATTTTATATACTGGTATATATATTCTTTTAATTATAAAATCTTATAATAAATTTAATTAACAATATTGTAATCACTTAATTTAGTTAACTGATTAGTATAGACCAAATGTCTAAAAAATTTATCAATTGTTACAATTATGCTAAGTTGTTTATATTATAAAAAGTCAAGCTTCTATTTGTTAATGCTTTGTAACTACTATTATATCAATAATGTTGCAAAATCTGATATACAAATAAATATAGTATATAATAAATAAACATAATTGTTTTTATGTCTTATATCTTAGCAAATAACTATATAATCTAATAGTTTTCAGTATACCTAACCTAACTCCTTTTGTTTATTATTTTTTTTTAATGATATTGAGTATATTACTTAAATGTTTTAAGTACAAAATTTTTATACTAATTGTTTAAAAACCTCTAATAGATAATTTGGTAATAATAATTTAATTGCAACTTGCAGTATTCTATAGATTTTAGATATTGCAGTATATTAGTAGTATCTAACTCTTACTAAGTATAATGTAATATTAGCAGAACTGATATATAAAAATTTATAAGTATAATGAGAAAATGCTTGCAAACTTTAGTAAATTAATTTGAACAATATTATATAAGAACAGACAAGTTATTATTTCTAAATTTAAAGTTTTAATAAATATAACTTTAATTTATTTAGAATTTTTAAATTTAAAAAAATTAATTTAGTATTAAAAAACTTTAGAATTAAAAATAATAAAAATAAAATATTTGAAACATGAATTGAAGTCAAATCAGACATTGATTAATTTTTTGTTAATGGAATTGAGATGGAAAAAGATAAATATACAGTAAAGTATTTATTATTTAAATTTGTGCAAAAATATTAGCAAAACTAATATAATAATATTAATTTTCTAGTACTAATAATTCTAAGCAGAATTAAAACTAAAAAAAAAAGCTTTATAATAGCAATGTTTGTAAAATCTAAATTAAAAAGGATGAATATTAGATAAGACAGTAACAACAGAAGTAACTATTCAAATTCGTAAATTATTCTGATATAGCTACACAATTGATAAATTATTTTTTATATGTTTTATAATACTTATTTTAAAAGCTTAGATAGCTTAACTTTTTATAAAATAAGAATAAATTTAACAAATAAATTAATGCTTTTGCTTTACCTTATAACATATTCTTTAAATTCTGTAAATTTTATAGCTTTAAAGAAGACAAGGTAATTTACTTATTATGTAAAAGTTAAATTACATTATATAACAATTTAGTATGTTATTAGTTATAAGTATATATTATTAGTAAATTATCATATAGTGTGATTTAACTTTTACATAATAAGTAAACAACCTTGCTCATTTTTACACAGCTTTTTTTTTACAATCTGATTGCCAATTTACTAAAATTTGAAATACAATTGGTTGATAATTATATATAACTATAACAGAAAATCTACAAATTTGAATAGTCATTTTTGTTGGCAGTTATATTTGTATCAGCTTAAAAAAAAATGTTTATTAAAATTAAGTTAAAAAGTTATTTTAATAGAAAATCCTAACTAAATTAGAATTAAAAAATATAAAACAAAATACTGTAATAAAAATTACTAAAAACTAGCAAGCTGTAGTAATTTTAAATGCATGAATGTCAAGTAGAAGATCTTTTATTTAAAGAAAAATAAAATAAATAAAAATAACTAAAAATAAGAAATAAATATTTAAA